AGAGAAAATAGGGCTGGTTTGCGAAATATTCAAGTTTAAGTGTTTTCCAGGATTTCCCCATAACTTGAATAAATTACACTTGATTTTCATGAAATCTATATATAACATATTTTGGTCTTTTATCCTTCATTTGACAAAATATTGACCGGATCAAAGCAAAATAAACTGCATTTCGATGCGTTTCTTTCGTAATGTTCGGTACTAAAAACAACTGTCCCCACATACCTTAACGGATTAATTGAAACCACTCTATACTGTTGTTGACCTTGAAGGTTCTTGTTCTGACAGTAATTGCATGGTTTTCCTGGGTTAACAGTAGGGAACGCACTAAGGGCCTCATAAGTATAGTATAATATTATACTAATAGTATATAATAGAAATTCATATTCTTTGTTTTGTTCCTGTTCATTAGACCTTTGTAAACAACATATTGGCCATCCCTTTTGATTTCATTTACTTTCTGAGAGTGAAATTATGATACATGGCATGGAGTAATTTAAACASGACCTCTAGACTATGCAGTTTTTGATGAGGGTGCAGTACAGTTATGATTCAATTTTACACTTGCAAATGGGGAAACACATGTATAAAAAGTTGATATATTTTGTAATGAATATAATGACTGAAAAGTAAACTGCATATTATTGTATGTTTTCTTCATGAGCATCCCTATTATTGAAATGATTCAAGAGGGTGGCAATGTCGTTAAAAATGTCTATTCTGATAATTCAAATTATGTAACATGCATTTTTAAATGCACTTAAAAGTGATTAAAATAATAGAGTTCACAAGAGGGTGGTATATTGTTCTCAACATTGATGAGGTCCAAGTGGGCTACTTACTATCTAGACTACAATTTATTATTGTCATGTGACTTATTTCACATTATTTTATTTTCCATTCATGTAGAATGCCCAATTTATTTATTGCAGTGGATAAGTGAGAGGGCATTTCTACACAAAAAAAAAATGCAAAATTATTAAGCATGAAGATCACGAGATATTTCACTTGCTTTCAGTGGACAACATTTTCAAGATCAGCTGTTCATTTAGAATTCATAGTGCCCATTTTAGGAAACTCAAATTCATTTACTAATGATAATGCCAATTGATAATGCATAAGACAGTACTTAGTCCAATGAGGGTTGTCCATTGAAGTCATAAAAAGGTGGATGCTGTATCAGAYACTTGCATAAAACTGTTAGCTATATATTTGAAGCTTTGTTGTTTTGGATTATGCAACTAATTAATTATTCCATTATTACTCGGGGTTCCTGTGGAATCCCGAGTTAAAGGGTTCTGCTTTCGTCATTTTTTCTTTCGCTTTCAGTAACAAAATTTCTTGACCGAAAAACCTAAAACTTCAAAATAACCACTCTAAAAGTGTTCACTAATTATTGAAATGTCTACAATGAGCTTTTTTGATATTTCAAGAATGAATACATACGTTTTAGACAATATATTTCGAGTACATATGAAAAGCCGTAAAGATCGTCGCCACAGGTAGCCCAACATCAAAGAGAACCCCGAGTTCACGCAGTTATGCGTCTAGTTRAATTGATTATTCGATTCCAAGAATCATTTTTGAAAACGAAGAATGCAATATTCAMAAACTTTGTTTTGTCATTTTAAGCTCAATCCTTCAGCAATCGAAAGACTTTCTAGAAAGGGTTTACAATCGAGGCTGTTTSCTGAAGAGCAACAATAGCCGATTCAATCCTAATGGCGATATTTTCCCTTGTAGATATATTATCAACATCGTTATAGAGTTCAGCATCGTCAAGTAGCTTTAAAATACAGTCGAAGAATTGATCCCATTGACCAACAATTTGTTGACAGAAAATTCATGTTGAATGCGATCGAAATACGTTTTGTCTCGCTGTTGATAAGTTTCATATTTCTTCATATTTATGCTAAATGCAGTGAATGCAGTTGTGGAATATCTGTTGAATGTGATTGAAAATTACACATGTTGAATTTAAATATTGTTGTTGAATGTGATCACGATCCTTGAATGTGATAGAAACATTTGTTGAATATTATGATCTTTACATGTGTTGAATGTAATTTTTGCCCTTAAATGTGATCACGATCCTTGAATGTGATAGAAACATTTGTTGAATATTATGATCTTTACATGTGTTGAATGTAATTTTTGCCCTTAAATGTGATCACGATCCTTGAATGTGATAGAAACATTTGTTGAATATTATGATCTTTACATGTGTTGAATGTAATTTTTGCCCTTGAATGTGATCGAAGTTCTTGAATGCGATCAAATTAGAGCCCTTGAATTTTGCAACATTTCGCCTTCCATACCCCATTATTTCTAAAACTGCTGAGAAGGTAGTGATACCGCAGGTTCTCGCCCACTGCTCTGAGCATGCACCTCTACCGAATAATCAGTCATCCTATCGACAACATCACTAGACTGAGACTGCCTTGCTTAAGGTATAGAATGACATTCTCCTCAACATGGACAGGCAAGAAGTTACTTTGCTCGTCTTGCTCGATCTTAGTGCGGCTTTTGATACGATAGATCACACTATCTTGGCAGACCTTCTAGAGCGTGACTTTGGCATCAGTGATCTTGCTCTCTCCTGGATAACATCATTTATGCGTGGGA